CCCCCCAATCCATAAACACCGATAGTCACAATACCTCCCTGTCAAGCGTTCACGCTTCATCGCATTGGACTTAGTGTATTTATTTTAGTTCCTAAGAAGGCACAGGTATAAAAACGTACAACACAAAGCATCCGCAGAACGCGAAATGACATTCAAGTCTCACTCAAAGGGGAAAACAGGACAAGGAAATAAAGCCAAAGTTGTAAAACTCAACGTAATGCAAACGTGTCCGAGGGACACATAGTACCGTAACAATGCACCACGAGACGAAGAAGTGTACGAAGTGTTGCTTCTCTGTTCCCCTACTACTCGCATCAATATGTCCCCCTCTCACCGCCGACCCTACCTCTAGCGTTTAGTCCTACGAATCCCTACTCTTGTATGTACCAGATCCTCACTCTCTCGCGCGACTTCGCTCATAACCGCATAACTCCGACTATACCTAGTTAGTGCACGGAACATAAATAACTGCGTCGGTGGAATTTTAAGTGGTAATTCAAGGAGAGAGGCAATGGAAATTTCCCACTTTTAGTGCGTATTACGTATGTTATTACAGTAAGCCTCCTTCCTTTCCTTTAGCTGTTGATTCAACGGGAACACCCGCCTGGCATTGTCTTCAAAATTGTTCGAATGTCATTGACACGCGACGTGTCTGAACTACTTTCGAAAGCGTGACTCTCGTGATGCTTCAGACAGATGCGTGGGGGGGACAGTCGGATTATGCGAGATGAGATAAGATGAGGTAGTACCGATGGTACGTCGTCGAGCGTAGTTTACTCTTGAATCGACTTGTGGCTGTTTTTTTTTTAACAGCACGTTGTCTCCTTTGCCGGGGGAGATAAAAAATTCAATATTTTTTTGGTGCAATCTGTAAGAGAGTCCTTGGTCAAATCAATTAAATCTACGACTGCCGGCCAATGGCCAATTAAAATATTTCGTTGATTGAACGTAATCACAGTTAATTTGATGTATGCTTCGTTGGATTTAACATCATGTATGTTTCATTGAATTGAGTATCCGTTTATTTGCTTCTACAACTATTGCGTTGAATCAACGAAGTATTTTATCGAGTGCCCGCAACCGCAGATTTAGTTGACTTGACCGCCGCCGCGTCTCCCTTTGGTGTAGCTTTTGAAACGAGTGCAATTAAGATAATTGCTTTAATTTATTGGAAGTATGATATGCATGGAATGACGTAGATAAATGAATATAGATTATGTTAGTCTGTTGCTGCACTGCACGACTCTATAGAGAGAAGTTGAGAGATTGTGTTGCGGAATATGAGTCACGGTTCCAACTCACTTCTTATATTATATATATATTAAATGCACGAGGAAGTTGTGCCGTTGATGATTGTAAACTGTTTTTCAAGGGTATCCGTCATTTCGTTGCGTCCTTTCGTATCTATGAGATAGACGCATTTACAATTCTGACAATCAAAGAGAAGAGAAATAACGTTGGGAGATAACGAGTCGAGGAGATTTATGACGCTGAAATTAGTCATGCGCAATGCTCCTTTTTTGCGACCTGGATATGGGACGCCATTACGTGAAAACGTTATTGCCGGGAACGTAATTATTTTTCCAGCTAATAAATAACACGCGAACTATTGCGCCGCCGCCGATCCTTGCAATATAATATTCAATTAACTTTATCGGTTTCCCTTATCGGAGTCTCTTTGTAATAGTCATTGTTTGAAATTTATGGGTCAATTCCCAAACTCGTGCATGTTTTTTTTCACTAAGGAATTCTACTCGCGGTGCCCTTGCAATTACTTTGCCGACTCGCCAAATTCCTCGTCAAAGTCCGCCGTAGCAGTCCATATTCCCAATCGCGAATCATACATTTGAGCGCAATCGACTTCGCAATATCTAACGTCGATTACGTTTGCGCTGAAGTCATTTTATTATTTTGCGACCCCATTTAACGATTCGTGTCAGCAAATCAATGTTGTACGCATTCCGTATTGATTACGTATGGTGCACGGTGCTTGCCTTTCTTGCTGCATTCAAACTTCAAAATTAATGCGATCGAGAAGGAATGCTAACGTTATCGTACATTTATAAGTTTCCTTAACGCGTCTCGCGCGATTTCTCAAGTAGGAATCCCGCGGCACGTGGAAGGAAAGACAAGCGATCCAAGAAATATGAATATTTTCAAGGGACAAATTAAACCGGGAGATTGAATTTTTTTTCTGTTCTCTCCATCGATTCATTTGCCGGAGAGGGTTGCCCGTTATACCAGTGCCCTGTGTGGCACTGTGGACCTAACGCACCTTACGCATTCATCTCGTAGGAGCTCCAAGGAGAACTATCCCTTGTATTCAGCCATATATGGGATTGTATAATGAGAGGGCAGCTCATATTCCGTTTATTTGAGCTAATGCGAGGGTCGAAAACCCTGAGTGCCACTGGACTTGAAATACGGCGAAGAGGAGTGGGTAGGCAGGTTGGCTGCGTTGTTGCTGGGCAAAACCACTTAAAACTAAAGAAAACAATTCCAATCCAACTTTTTCTTTCTTCAGTTCCCTCAGGCCCCCCCCCCGCCCGTCCCTGTATGTTCCCCTCCTTTTTTCTTTGTTGCCCGCGCCAACACAAAGAGATTATTCGATAGAGCAGCTCGTTGTGCGATACCGGAAAAACTTTTTTCTTACTTTTATATGTCTTTGTAGCTCCCTTGTTTACCAAGGTCTGTATTTTAACTTCCATACTTCCACCTCCCCGCGTCTAGACGAAACTCCCTCACTGTACGAGCTACAGTTTTATCTTTTGATTCATTCTTCTCTCGTTCGTACATTTTCTCGTATTTCTTTGTTAACATTCGAGGGCCGGAGGGGGGGCATTCTAAATCAATTCCTATGCAATCACTTGGGAAGTTGCTTGTACCATTGCATGCTGTTTCATAGAAGATAAGAAAGAAAATGAAATTCTTCAAAGTTATTTCTTAAATTTTTGTTTCTCTCGATGATTCTCGATTATTTTCTTTCGAATTCGAATCTTAATAATGGAAATGTCGTGATGCACATTTTCACACTTTTGTGAAGTTGGCTTTTCATTATACAACTTTAAAAATAATAATTATAACAATTAGAGTAGAGTAGAGAGAGCAAAAGATAGCGATATTTGGAAAAAGGGGACCAACTTTGTGGCCCCCTCACCCTTTTTTTTTTGGAAAAATGTAATTTTTTTTGGCAGTTGTGAATAGATTAGCAGTAGTTCTGCGAAATTAAAATTGAAAGAGGTGCGGGATTTTGGGCCCATCGATAGGAATTTGACGAAGTTCCACGGTCGAAAAATTTATTAAGAGTTCCGAGAGTTCTGATGAGAGTTTCGAATAGTTCTCAGAGTTCTGCAAAACGAATACCTGAACTTGATCAATCTATCCAGTATTTGGGGGGATATCGGATTTTATACGATAAATTGATTTTTTGAAATACTTATCTGAAAATGATTTCTTTACGGAATCTGGATGTGTACTGTACTCAAAATCTATAGGGGGAACTTCAGAACTCTTTGACAACTATTCGGAGCATTGAATAAAATATGATTTTCTAAAAGATAGTGTGCTGGCGTATTTTTTTAAACCTTATTTTCAAGCGGACAGTGACCGGAACTATTGATAAAAAGGGCAAAGAACTATAGAACTATTGTTAATTTATTCAGAACTGCCAATGAAATTATATTTTTTTTTTAAATGGGGAGCGTCGTGAAGTTGGCCCCCATTTCCGATTATCACTATTTTTTGTATTTAATCAACAGAACTATTTTTGAAAACTATCAGGAACTGCAGAACTATTCCGGGGGCGAGCAGAACTGTAATTTTTTTTTAAATTTGCATAATGAGGGGCCAACCTCTTAGAGGTCATTTTCACACTGTCAAATCGTAAAACCAATTAGCAGCTAAACAATCAGGCAGTTCTGTCATACTTTATACCAAGTGTCAGCATTCTAGTATCGTTTCAAATGCTTTAGCAAATGTACCGTGTGACGTAATAAATGAGAACTACTTTCATCTGCGCCACCCGGTATTGGAATTTTTACAGAGTATTAGGGCATGTCTGGACAAGACTTCGAAATTTCGCATAAGGAATGTTGCACACAAAGGAATTGCACATGGCAGTTGCGTCACAAGTTGTTTCGATTATTTTATGCGTTTTCACACTATGGTTAGTTTTACTATACATCAAATTATTCTTATCATTAAAGGTTAAAACGTTAGGCGTGCTGAACGGCCCGATTAACATTTCGATCGTCGCTCGCAACGTTCAAAATGTTGGTCGTTATTTTTATCGTTCCTGTACATAATTTAGTCTGGGTATTGCAAACAGAATTACCATGAAATCTTTGGAAGGCGAATATCACCTAGACTGCCTTTAGCGTTCTTTCTGTTGTTTGCAAATGTGTATTAGAAAAACTGTAACACGATACCAAGAGACACGATAAAGTCTGGCGCCGCCAAGCGTATGGCAAATTCCAATTTCAGTCTTACCTACTTTTTTGCGTATGTTCGCAACTTCAATTTTATTAGTTATATTTATTTTTCATTGGTATAATGTGTTTGATGGAACAAGCGGAAAAATTTTATTATTTTTATTATCTCTTGTGGCACTCTGTGCTCACATTGCTTTGTTTCGTTTCTCGTGAACAAAAAACTCCACAGTCTATCCTGCAATGAAAAATAATTATAATATTTATTTAATTTTTTGCCGTTTTAATGTTCCATTCACATTTCACATATCTCCAAAGCAATTAGGCATATAGTAGGGCCTTACAAATCTATCCACAGTTCGTCCATAAGTAAAGTAACTTTTCAAGGGGTCATCTCTGTATGACCTTTAAGGTAAAGGAGTCCCCTAGACAGGAACGCAGTGTGTCAGTACCCCGGTCTCTCTCACTGAGGCAAGGGTCATCTTAAATTTTGTTATAAACCTTATCAACTTTGGTTATTGCAGTAACCAGAGTAGCATTATTTACCTTGACTGTTCCTTAAAAAAAATATTGAAGAAAAGACTCCTACCTGGAAGTGCTTCTTGCGAAGTGTCGCACGAATAAATGTGGCTGCTTGGAAGGCGACTTTCACGTGACCTAGTATTTAGATTCGTTGCAATATTAGTTTTTTCCAATTAATCCGTAAAAAAATGTTGACCGTCATTGTATAATTCCATTTACGATTTCGCCAACGCAACGCCACATTATGAAATATGATTACCGTCTCTAAAAAAAGAAATAGCTTTTATAAACAGTTGTTCAATCAGACAAAGTGTATACTTACATTGGGCATCCCTTTCTCTCCCTCCAACCGCGTTTCATGTCGCCATCTTATTGGTACCTCCTTTTACTACTAGATATCTCATATTAAATTTATATCTCGCATACTAACGCTCGGTTGTATTTTTTATTTCAACTTGCGATTGTCTCTCTTGCACACGTGTCGTATGCTTGCGAGTAATAAATTGTGACTATAATCCTCTATCCGAAGTATAGCCTGTCCAGATTTAACGTGAAAGCTGCTCGTTGAGATAGGTTCGGAACATGGAAGAGACAGCTGAAATTTTGGGTCCCGAGACAAATGACGGACACAGATGTTACTTTATGCTGCTAGCTGAGCCGTATGACTCGATGCTTTCAGGGCCGCAGGGCCAAACAAGAGGATTGGAATCTTTTGCTGAACAACTATTATGTTATAAACGAAGAGATAGGTGCAGTGACGAAGCTTCTTATAAGTTTATAATGAAAAAGGTACTGACACGCGTGTTACTAAAGCCCGACTGATTTCTCAATCCATTTTAGTGTCAGTGGTGACCTTTGCGTCTGTAATAAGTACAGAAAAAATTGTCTCAAATACTGTACACAAAAGTCGACATCATTAATTCTCTCTGACAGGTACCAGGATCCTTTTTCACGTTGGCCATATCTGTACTCGGCTGTTTGACTGTTGTGTTAGAACGTCAGGGAACAAAAGCTGCGCTGCCAGGAAGAAAAAGAAAGGACGGAACAATGTTGAGCATGCCACTTGGTGGCAAGGGCAGACGCGAGCGATTGAGCGATTGAACGATTTAAAAATAACATTGTAATAACTAGATTATGGGATTACGAAAGTGGCTGCTCCTTTTTGTTTCAATCTTTGACGCGTTAGCACAGACTGGAATTTCCTGCAGACACCGTGAACGACGTTTCGGAATACACGAAATATGGGTAACTCGCAGGGTACTGCTTTACGCAGCTGATACACCAACTGTATTGATATTAATATAATTTGAAATGACAACACTGCAAAGGCATGTCTCAAATAAATTTTACTTTAATCTAACAAAATGTATATGAAAACGGTTCCATAAAACGAAACGCTTTTTATTCTATCGTTTTCATATCAGGAATGAAATTTGTTATTTTCACTTTTTTTTCCCCCCCGTAGACTAGGAATGATTTTTGTTAATGCCTAACGTGCTCGGCGTGTCTGTTTGTACGTATGGAACTTTCATTTGCGTTAACTGCACAGCCACCAATTGCCATCGCGAGGCCCCTGCTGTTGAATCTGACGCTAACGGAAGGCTCGCATGATGCAAACAATAAGTATATCGTGTACTATTATTGTGGCATGAAAATTGTCGGGAATATTAAATAAACCGGTTGGCCAATAAAGCATTAAAACTCAACTAACCTAATGCATGTCATTATAGCTCGTCGTGCAGTACGCACTAAACACACATGCCTCGATGTGCCCTGAGTTCGCAAGCGCGAAACTTTCTTACAACGTTCAACTCGACTGAAAACTTATCGGCAGTATAGGTAATAACAACTCGTGAGATGAGCCTGGCAAAAGTTTCTTGAACTTCTTTCATTTGTTTTCTTTCGTGCCCGAATCTTCTGCGTCTTCTTGCTTCCTTTATTCTCCCATCCCTTCTCTTCCCCCCCCCCCCCTT